TTCCAACAGTTGCTGAATGAGTGGTCATTAGGTGAGGTCCACCTGTACTGTTAAGCTGATAACTGGGAAGCAATCTTATTTATTTATTTATTTATTTATTTATTTATTTATATTTCAAATTTGCCACCACCCATCTCACTGCAGAGCGACTCTGGGTGGTTTACAGTAAAAGAATAAACATTAGTTAAAATAGAATAAATATGAATTAAAATTCATTACAAGAAGACTTCCTATATAAATAACATTTATATTCCCTATTTATTTTTATATTCCCTATCTTTAAATTTAGTTTATGTTTCCTGGCTGTGCATGTGCAGAACAGCGCATGACAGGCCATTCCCACTGGCCACTTCAGTCCTGAAAAGGTTGCTCACCTCTGCACTCTGCTCGCTGTGGCATCATTTTCCTGTGGTTGTTAGAAACCTTTGTCGGGCAGGTTGGGATTCCAAGAGAAGGCAGAGACCTGTGTTTATTACAGCGAAGAGCATCTGGAATAAATGCTTTCAACCCCCAAGAAATAACTTGAAGTTACCAGAACCCCATAGGTCAGTGTTGTCCAAATTTGGCCACTTTAAGATGAGTGGACTTCAACTCCCAGAATTCCCCAGCCAGCTGCTGTAGCTGGTGTAAGCAAAAAAAACAGTCACTGTCCTTGAGAAAGGACATTGGCTGCTCTGGCCACCAACAACACTTTCCAGGTGTTTTGAAGTCCATAGCCTCTGTTTCTTTTTGCATGCCTCTATGAATCCAGTTTGCATGTTGGCTCTGCATGGGAATGCCCAAGCCTGAACTACTCATAGCAAAACCAGTCTTTGCAAACTTGTACCCATTAACCCAGTCTTCCTCAACCCGGTGGCCCCCAGCTGTGTGGGGAACTGTAAATCCCAGAATCCCCAGCCATCAAGAAATCTGGCCCACCACTTCTGAAGGATGCAAGGCTGAGTTCGTCTGGATTTGCTTGAGCCAACTCAGGACGGACTATTCACAAAAAGAGGAGAAACTCATGCCAGTGGTATTTTTTGCCAGAGGGGCGCTCTTGCAAACAGAGTAAATAAATAAATATTTCTCAACTACCTCCCCCACACCCCCAAATTGTCCGAAAGCTCAAGTAAAGGTTGTGTGTCTTAGAGTACTGGTAACCGAGAAACCTTGCTAGATCCTTTTAATGCAGAAAATAATTGTTGATTGCTGAGCTGCTACAATCTGATCTCCTCCAGATTGGCTAGACAAGAACTCTCCAGCCAGACTGGGTGGTGAGATGAGACTTGCAGTTCACCATATCCAAAGGGTGCTCATTTAGAAAATTAACTTGCTTCATCTATGTATGCAAATGTATGCAAACACATGCTTCCTTTGGGCTGTGTTTCATTCCCCCCAAACCTTAATTTGAAGCTTGCCAATTCCTTGATCTTCTGTTCCTGGATTAGCTTCAGGGCTTCAGCAAAACGTGTGCTTCTGTCTACAAAACCTAGTTGATATCCCTCAAGCTGATCCCTGTAATTCTCTTTCTTTTCCTTTTTTGCAGGGTCTCATAGGAGCTAAAGGAGAACCAGGTCATGTTGGGAGACCAGGTCCCAAAGTGGGTAACTCTTCTGCCTGGTGGAAAGGTGTTTGATGCATGTAACGTGTTGAAGTCACCAAAGCAGCCTTCCTCAGCTTGTGGTTTCCCATGTGTTGGGACTGCCAACCACCCATGGTCTAACACCCGTGGGGGGCACAGTTTGGAGAAAACTGCTTTGAAGTAAGACGCAGGATAAAGAAACGTTGGAGAACTATGTGCTCTGAATCTGTGTGTGCGTTTCGAGGGTTGCCCTCAGGCCCTTGCAGTAAACATCTCTCTGAAACGTAGCCACACACTCGCAAACTTAACAGCAGATTACAATTTTATTGCAGATGCAGGCAGGCAACCAAGTAAGATGAAGGATCAGCTTCTATGGGGGCTGAACTTCAGGTTCTACATTTATGGGTGTCCTCAGGTTTAAACCTTGGGCTTCTTTCTTCAGTTGATTTCTTGTGTTCCCATCTCATGCTGGCCTGCCTGCCTCTCCCTGGAGAATGCTTGTGAAATGGCCCTCTCTGTTTCCAGGCTTCTTGTTTCTCCCTTGCTAGCCCCTGCCCTCCCATAAAATTGATAACGTCTAGATTTGTACAATGTACTAAACTCTAAACCTGGATCAACAAAACACAGTGCCTTCAGAAAAGAGACCATATTTGAACAAATGAACCGTAATGATGACTTTATTGATTACCTGCTTCATATGATGGGCTAAGATGTTGGGCTCTCATAGGATGGTTAACCAGAAGCTACCCAATCCCATTGTCATTGGGTCTACCAACTTGTGAGATTTCAGCCAGAAAGCAAGTACAGGGAACTTTGGAGACAAACAGAGGGCTGAAAAAGCAGACCTGATGTTAAGCCCTTCAGTATGTCCAATTATTTGTTTAGGAGGGTAGGGAACTTTCACCACAACATGCTTGGGAGGAGATCAAACCTTGTTTTTCCTAGGAATCATCATCTCAGAAATCTCCATCCCTTGTGCTTCTGTTAGCCTTTGAATAAAAACTTCAATCAGGCATCCACAGAGGGAAGCAAGGCAGGAGCCAATGGGAACATGTGTGTGATGAAGCCATCACGGAAATGCCGTAACTAAAGCATTTCCAACAGAAGCTGTAATGCAAGTGCATAGCTGTATCATGTCGGTATCATTGTGGTTTGTGATGGATGCCACCGGCTCCAGTCACTGTGATTGCCATCCTAACAGAGCAACTGCAAAAGGAAGTCTGGTGAGATGTGCCATGGAATAAGCGCTGAGAAATTCCATTTCTCCTTGTGCTGCAGTTCTCTTGATTAGCCATTTAACTACAGACAAGCTTTCTCATGACATGAGTAGTGTCTCATGTAGCTTTGCTCTGTGCCTATAGAAATAGACGATTTCTGCTTGAAATGTAATGGACTGGCAGGTAGGTGGGGGTGCCTGTCTCCAAGGGGTGCAACAATCCAGATATTGCTTTGATGGCTTAAAAATTAGATGTGGTTGGTGGCATCAGGAAGGGCAGGATGTAGACTTTTCTCTCTTGGGTGAGAACACTCTCTTTGGTCTCAGTCTGCTTCCAGAAATATTTTCAGCTCTTGGGGTCCAGCTTTGCAGAAAGGACTGGAAGTGGTTGTGATACAGACAGGTAGGAGGCCAGCCTGTGTAGGACTCTACAACGAGCTGAAAACAGGAGATGGCCTTTCCGTTTTGTCATTTTTTTCAGCATTGCCTTTGAAACACATCTGTTTTCAGCCCCCTGGGTGCTGGGACATTTAGCCCAGGATCCATGATTGATTCAGCTGTTGAGCCTACTTTCTAATACCATGACTATGATCCCTGCTGCTGAAGAATGAATGGGAAAGGCCCCTGCTTCTTGAAGCTCAAGCCTGCATCTGCCCCAAGAAATAAGCTTTTGGGGAAACTTTTGAAATTGGAAGTTGAATCAAAGTCTTGTTCTGTGGCTTCTGTTACATCAACTCTCTATTTTCCCTTGTGATGATACAGGGCCAGCCTGGACTTCCTGGACCACCAGGGCTCCCAGTAAGTGTCTGCTTTTCTTTGCACATGCTGGATGAGAAGATGCCAAGCTGAAATGCATCCGTTGTACACAGTAATGCTAGATGAGTTTAGAGCAACTGGAGGAAATTGTGGGTTTCCATATTTCCTACGCTCACAGGCTTGTTTTTCTGATCTATCTTTCTCCTGCCTTTAAACATCTGTAAAAATGCATCTGTTTCAAACCATCTTTTAATGGTTAATTAAGTTAACCATTGACCTTAATATTAATGTAGTGGGTTTTTAATTTTTTTTTTAAATGCAGAAAGGCCAGGTATAAATAAACAGCCTGAAACCATCGGGGAGGGACAAGATGGATTTTGTCAGTTCCCTCAACTTGCTACTTTCTGGCCTCCATCATCCCCAGTTTATCTGGAAACTAGGAAATGAATTGGTTGGCTTGCTAGTATATCTGCCAAGGAGATTGCAAAGGCCAGGGGAAGCCAGGTGTGAATTGTAGGAGAAAAATGCCAATGTTGATCTAGATGTATCTTGGCCCCAAGGGCCACTGCACATGTATGGTTTAAGGCTGTCATTCAAAACATAGTTATGGATATTACATTCCATTCAGATTAACACATCTCGCTTCTGGGTAAATACAGGGAGAAATAGGCCCTGAAACACTTGGGAGATGCTCTCACATCTTATATCTTAAAGTTGGTTTCAGTCCATAAAAGGAGAATGTAGGTGTATAAACTATTCTGGTAATAGCTATTAGAAAAGAGGCCATTCCAACCTCAAAATGAGTTATTCCAAGGTTTCCAGATTTTTTTTTTTTAAAGATAGGTAAAGAGTCAAAAGTCATTTGCCTATTTATTTACTGCTTTAATATAGGGAAGGAAATAAAGATACAAAAATACAGGAAAAGAAAACAAAAACAGGAAAAAAAAGGAAATGATAGAAGAATGTATTTATTATGTTTACAGCAAACAGCTCTATTTTTGATTTTAGCATTGTTTAATTTAAGTAAGTGTTCTAGATGTGGTCTGACCAAGCAACGGAGCACTAGAAATGGGCCCATGTTTTGCTCAAACATCTTTTGGCATCAAAACATTCCAGACTGGAGTGTTTTGGAATGGTTAAATGAAAAACAAGAACTGAACCCTAAAATATCTACCCAAGGCCAAACCACTGGGCCCCACTCAGATCCCAGAGGTATTCTTAAAAAATTAAGTCATGGATGGCTGCCATAGGAGTGTTTCATGATTGGCCATGCCCAGCGTGGTGATCATTGAACTCCTCTAATATGTTTTCGAATTCCAAATGTGTGCTGTGGGTGAAGTTATGAACCCCTGATTCCATGAATTCTGATTGGAAAAATGCAAGACATTATCAAGCTCTTGGAAATTTTGGTGCCAATGCTACAGTTATTACTTTTTCAGCAGTTGATCCTCCGGTGAAGAATGATGACCCATTGTATCTGTCTGTTTCAGGGACCCGGATTCCCAGGACCTCCTGTAAGTGTGGCTTGTGACCCGTTGGGCTATGTGGGTGGTGAGCAGTGTGCTTGGTCTGTAAAGGGACAATGGAAAAGAAATTTGCTTAGTTCTTATTTGAATGCAAAATTATCTAATTGTTGGGTTTTCAAACCAGGGCGCGAATCAAAACTTATCATTTGAAATTTGCAGTTCTCCCAATTTTGCAATGTAGTTTGCCAACAATGAAAAAATGCATTATTAGGAAAAAGTCTGTACAAGATGCTTCCATTCCTGAAAATAATGTGCTACAAGGCCTATATTGGAACAATTTTTTTTTTTAAAAAAGGGCGTATATTAGGCAAAACAGCAAACAAAAACGCACATGATTGGAAAAACGTTTCCTAAACTACATGTGACTTTCAATGTGAATATATACAGTATAATCAAAATCAAAACCTTCATTACGGCCTTTAGGCCAGAGAACCCTACACTAAAAATACCTAAACCAATAATTCATAAAGCTAAAAAGTAGACATGAAATACAATAAAATTATATAAAATAAATTAATAAAGTAACAATCATACAGATAACAGTGGCAATTGCTACAGATCACATTTTTTATTTGATTTTTTATTTGATTGATTCTTTGATGTACTGTAGGTGTGTGTGAATGTCTGTCTATCTATCTATCTATCTATCTATCTATCTATCTATCTATCTATCTATCTATCTATCTATCTATCTATCT